TTTGGTGGATTTTCACTAACTCAGCTCTCTTGCTGAGTTTTGCACATTAGCTGCAGGTGGAACAAGGAAAACCGCTTCCAGGATAAATAGTCTATAACTTCTGGTGGTAGTTTTCTCCTGGGAGACACTGCCCTCCTGTAATAGCCTAATAGGGGCCCAGCATGGCACCCTCAGTTGATATGTTCTTTTTGGCAACCCTCTCTGGGTGCATCCTCTAATCAGACCAGCTGGGCCTATCACAGTACCCTTGCTTGATCTGACTAGGCTCTGGTTCAGTCCTTGTCCAGCCCCACAACCAGCCAGGAGCTCCTTCACTTCCTCCCATCCCAGTCTTCTGTAGCCACCTGTAATCTTGTTTGAGCTGAGCTGTCCATGGTCCTGTTGCTCTCCCAGCAAGCTAGGAACCCAGTTTTCCCTCTTCCTGCTCTAGGCAGCAACTGATTGCTCTGTCTCTGCTGCTCCTTTTGCATGGCCCTGCCCCCGATGGGCTTCCCTGGCAGCCATTCTAGGTCACCTGGAAGACCTCTCCTTTGCTCTTTTCCGAGGCAGGATGAAGCTGAAGGCTTCTAGGCCTAGTCCATTCCATGACAGTTGACAAATTGGGAGGCATTATAGCAGACCCTCCATACACTCTAGGAGCATTGCCAGCAGATCTATGGAAGTGATTATTCCCCTTTATTTGGCATTAGTGAGGCCACATCTGGAGTACTGCATCCAATTCTAGGCCCCCCATTACAGAAAGGATGTGGATGCATTGGAGAGAGACCAGCAGAGTGCCACAAAGATGATTAGGGGGCTGGAACACATGACTTATAAGGCGAGGCTGAGGGATTTGGGCTTATTTTGTCTACAGAAGAGAAGAGTGAGGGGGGATTTGATAGAAGCCTTCAACTACCTGAAGGGGGGTTCCAAAGAGGATGGAGAGAGGCTGTTCTCAGTGGTGACCGATGACAGAATGAGAGCAATGGTCTCAAGTTGCAGTGGGCATGGTCTGGGTAGGATATTAGGAAAAACTATTTCACTAGGAGGGTGGTGAAACACTGGAATGAGTTACCTAGGGAGGTGGTGGTCATGTCCTGGCTTGACAAAGTCCTGGCTGGGATGATTTTAGGAGGGAGTTGATCTGGATGACCTCCTGAGGTCTCTTCCAACTCTGTGATTCTAAGGTTTCTTTGTAACTACCTTCCACATTTATCCCTGAAATAGATGTGGAATTTCATTGTAACCAATCCATTCACTTGCCTATGTTTTTCCTGACATTGCACACTTTTGCTGAAGATCCAAGAATACATTTTCCTTGATGATCAACAAGCATGGACCTTTTAAATATGGTGAACCAAACCAATCAAATTCAAAAAGCAGTTTTTTCACCATAGCAAAGAGAGTCAGAGGACACAACATCTGTATCTAGAGATTCTCTAAATGGATATCTTGCTACATCAGGGATGGGAAAAAGGGCCTCCGCGGGCCGGATCCGGCCTGCTAAGCAGGTAGATCCGGTCCGCAGGGGCCCTGCTGCTCCTCCGCTGCCAGGCCAATTAGGGACTGGGGGCGGGGGAGTGAGTGATGCTGTCTCTGCTCTGCCCCCATCCTGGAATATAATAGGGACTATCATTTGAAAAAGGAGGTTATTTTCCTGGAACTGGAGTTCTTTGGAATGTATGGTCCCTACCTCTCTTCTACTACCTGCCCTCCATCTCCTCTACTATGGATCCTCTTTAATTCATGAGGAAGAAGGACCTGGAGAAGTGATTGTTTGTGACCTCGGTCGGAGGCACAGAGTGAACCAGGACGAATGTGCAGGGAAGCACAGAAATTCGGGAGGGAGGGACCAGGCATTTTCTGTGGGTGCACAGTGCCACAGAATTTCCCCAGGAGTACACAGAATAGTAACCACAAATGGGCCTCTGCGTCACATCTTACCAAGCACACATAAGGTTTGTCTAGCTTGTTGTTTTTTACATGGAGTTAATAGATTGTCAGTTAGATTGAGGTATTTTAACTTGTCTGCCACAGGTTAGTCTGGGCAGACCACTAATGTTTGTTCCAGGGCACATCATGACAATCATTTAACTTGAGTATAGACAAGCCTGAGGCAGTGGGAGGGAGACATTCTAAGGAGAGCAAGGCTGCATGAATTTACAGTGGATCATCTTGATTTTAAAAGGTTGTTGTCAAATTCTTTAGACTAAACAGGTCTGATTTGCATGAGGTAGTTGTCCATCACTGATTTAGTTGATTTGCTCACTTTTGCAAGACACAGAGACATTTTTCCTAGTATTAGCATTGCAGATTCAAACACATGTCTGGCTAGTAAGCCATTGTCATTATTATATTTATTATTTATTATTAACATGTTTGTTCTGGTAGCACCTAACGCCTAACCAAGTGGGAGGTCTGTTATGCTGTACAAACAGAGTAGTAGATGGTCCCCATCTCAGAAAGTTCTCTGAATATCCCTAGATCCCTGCATTGTCTGCTTTTGCTTCTGCTGGCTGTTGTTTCTGGTTGGCTCTTCTCTGCTGTGTTCTCCCAAGCTCACATAAGAAGGAGGTGGGGAGACTGGCTGCATCTAAATCTTAGTGCCCCCTTTCTCCTTCACGGCTCTGTGTCCAGAGGATTATTGGGGGCATGACCTTGTCAGGGCCCCATTTTACTCTCTCCCCCAGTGCAGCAGCCCCATCGTTGGCTGCTTCTGACCCTGCTGACTGGAGTCTGTGGTTGGCTCTTCTCTGCAGTGTTTTTATTCAGTCTCATTACTATGAATGTGGTTCTTGAAAGATCTCCATGTTAGGAAAAATCTTTGAAAGTAACAGAACTCTCTTAAACAAAAAAACTTTGTGAAAGTGCCTTTTAAACACATCCTTTCTTGAAACATTTAAAATAATGACGGAGTCCTTTGATGCTATATTGTTTCTTCTAATTTATTATAATTCTGTGTACTAGTCCTAGGAATTCAATTTAGCAATAGGGTACCGTTTTACTCTAAAGCAACACAACATAGTGAAATAGGGTGTTTATTTTATCCTTTTCTAGTCTTCTCTACTTTATAATGTCAGAGAATTAGTTAAATGTTATATTTTAAGATAACTACTCTCTTACATTTTATTTTTTCTATTAATTGGTACCAGTGAATCTCTTGATTTATGATGAAAAGATGGGAAAAGACAAAAATTACTGTTGAATTTTCTTTCCTTTATAATAGGGCTTTATTTGTCCTCTGTGTATGAAATCTCATGGATCTGCTGAAGAACTTTTCAAGCACTATGAAGCAGTTCATGAATCTGGCATCGATTCAAGTCATGGAGGAGAAGGGCATTCTTCATCAAAAAGGTAGAACAATATTAATTTGTGCATATAGTTTTCTTTCAGGGTTAAGTTTTTCTAATTACATTTAAGCATTTACTAATCTTAATTATGTAGTGAAGTATTTAAATTTTGATGCCCCATTTCTAAAAACAATTAAAATGTTAGTTAAATACTATGTTAGCTGATACAGGCCTGGTAAAAGATGAAAATTGGGTTCACATTTTGATATTATTGATTTGATTTCCTTTAATGCTGTTGATCTGGAGGTGGTATCTTTTGCTGGAATTAAAGGGGGTTCCCTTCTTATTTGGGCATTTCCAAGATATAAAGGGCTGGCTGCATCTTGTCCACCCCTGATATTGGAGATTCTTTTTTCTATTTAGTGACCCTGAATTGTTGTACAGTGTTTTTATCATGTTTTAATAATGACTGGGGCCTCAGATTGCCACTGCATACCAATACAGTAGAGTCTCGATTATCTGACCTAAACGGGACTGATAGATGGTCGGATTAACGAAAATGTCGGATAATATGGAAAAAAGTATGAAATCAGGTTTATTAATAATTATTCTACAGTACAACTAACATAATAGAGTACAGAACATTCAGTATGAGAATGGCAAAACACAAAAGATATTGTTTAAAATAATTAGTGATTGAAGTTTGTTTCCCAGCTTTGTTTCTCTTCCTTGCGGCGAGGTCGCTCCAGCGTCTCAATAACATAACATCACTAGCAGTTGCCTCCCCTTGTTGTTCTCAAGACACCTCGAGAGTCTTGACCCCTTCGCTATGACTCATTTTCTCTGTTTTGTCTTTGTCATACCGATTCACCAGAGCTATTATGTCATGGTCAGTCAGTTCTTGTTGCTTGTCTTTCTCCATCCATTCCTGTATATCATCATCATTCACTTTTTCACAGCCTGGAATTTGTTGTAACAGAGGTAGCAGGTTATCACTATTTTCTTGTTCCATTTCTTGTATATTTTTGTCTTCCGAAAGTAACTTTCTCCATGATCTTGCCAGAGTTTGTGGTTCAATCTCTTTCCGTGATTGTGCGATCCAATAAATAACATCTTTTAGGTTCACTGTCCTTAGCTTACCTAGCATACCATTTCCATCATCTATTGCCTCAATGAGTGTAGTTAAAAGCTTACGACGATATTTTTTCTTTAATGCTTCAAGCACACCCTGGTCCGTAGGCTGACACAATGAGGTGATGTTAGGAGGAAGATAAATTACTCTAATATCCCTGCTGCTCAGTTCATCCTCACGAGAATGGGATGGTGCATTATCAATGACGATTGCTTTCCTCGGTAGGTTTAGCAATTTCAAAAATTGTTCTACTGAAGGAACAAATGCATTGAAAAAACAGCCTCGGAAAATTTCTGAATCCATCCATGCAGTCCTCTGATTCTTATACAAAACTGGTAGAGCAGTAGGTGCTAGGTTTTTGAAAGCTCGTGGTTTTTTTGCCTTTCCAATAAATATGAGTCTTAGTTTGTGGTTACCAGTAGCATTACTACAGGCTAGAATCGTCATTCTTTCTTTACTTCATTTATAACTAGGAGCTGAAGCTTCAGCCCGGGAAGCTAGAGTTTTTGAAGGCAGCATTTTATAGTTTAAGTCTGTCTCTTCACAGTTAAATATCTGCTCACCTGATAATCCTTCATTGTCGATAAGACAATGAAATTTTGCTTTAAATTTCAGAAATCCTTCGGGATTTGCTGATAATTTTTCGCCACATATACTGAGCTGCCTTAACCCGTATTATTTTTTCCAGTGATCAAGCCAGCCTACACTAGCCGTGAAATCAGGTTCCCCTTCATTAAATTCCTTTTGGAAAATCAGAGCTTTCTCTTGCAGGATTGGGCCTGTGATAGGCATGCCCTTATCCCTTTGCTGTGTGAACCATAAGAACAAAGCTTCACTCACTTTTTCATATTCACATTTCTTTGTCGTTTTTCTGTCCTTCAGTCCTTCACTTGAGGCTCAATCAGAGCACCACTTTTCTAACACACTTCTTTTCCAGTCACCAACTGTAACTCGCCCCACATTGAGTTCGGAAGCCAGCCAGGCCAGCTCCCAGTGCATGCTAGCTCCCGGCTGCTGGCCCTGCTTCTGGGGAGCCAGCTGTGCGGTGGGTTCTGCAGTATAAGCCTTACATTGCAGAGTCTGCAGCGCAGGGTGGCAGCTGGCTCCCTGGGAGCAGGGCTGGTAGCTGATGGGTGCTGGCGAAGATATGAATGCTTATCAGTTAACCATTTAAACGGTTGAAACCCGACATTCTAATTAGGGATGTAAGAGTTTAGAATGAAATTTGAGAGTTGCAAGCCTTAGGGTTTTAAACCTCAGCACATTGCCTGAAATTGGTATAACTGTTGAGGACATTGAATTGCTGCTTGGGTTAAATATTATATGGCTGCATATTTCAGTACAAATGAGATAGCATACTGTCTCCTAGCATTGCTCCTTGATATTATATGGTAAAAGAAGAACTAACCTACACTTTTAATAACATGGAGTATAACACAACTAAACATTTTAATATATTATCGTGCAATTCTAAAATTCTCTTACTTTAGTTGATATAGTCCAGTAACACAGGATATAAGTCTAAATCAATTTATTTGCATATTTAACCCTTCTACTGTTTTGGGGTCTGTCTGTCAGACCTCATTGCACATGAAAATGTAAATAAACATTTTCAACAATCTTTCAACATTGGTTTTATCTTACCTGTTGTGGTTTTTGTGTAGCCAAATTCCCCCCGAACTCCCCCAAATGAGTCACTATAAAGGTAATGGGGTCAGTTAGACCACCTAAATGTTAGTCACTGGGAAAAATAAAAGTTCTACATTGCAAAACCTTTGGGGATCTCCTACACCCCAAATACAAACAAAAAATTAAGTAAAACGTGATAGGCAATCAACTGTTTTTAATTTAAGCATTCTCAAAGTGTGATAAGGACAATTTGTTAGCAATGAATTTATCTTCATACCTGATTGTGGTTTTAATGTAGCAAAAAAAAAAGTTATTAAAAATTATTAGGGTCAGTTACACCTGAAATTAATTATGCAACTGTTCAAGCGCCAGATTGTTTCTAGGGAAGTGGCATCTAATGTTCTAATCCAGAGACTAGGACTATGCCTAGACTACAACATTTTTGCGGAAAAAGGTATGCAAAATGCACTCTGCATTTTGCGTACCCTTTTCCGTTTTTTTTTTTTTTCCAAAAGAGGTTTTTCCAAAATTTGGCACATCTAAACTGGGCCAAATTTCAGAAAAACTCCCTCTTTAGGAAGATCCCTTCTTCCTTGTGGAACGAGGAAGACAGGGATTCCAAAAGATCGTGTCTGCTCTTCTGCAAAAAAAAAAAAAAAAAAAAAAAAAAAAAAAAAAAAGGAAAAGAATGTTCCCTGGACGTGGCGTAGTTTTTTTGGGATACCTCCAGTATCCCCCAAAAAAACCCACACTCTAGATGTACTCTAAGAAACAGAGAGGATGTTACATCTCTTTCAGAGAATGAGAGCTAAAAACACATCAGAAAAGTGTTGTGAAAAATCTTGCTATTTTTAGAACATATGACAGCTATTTGCTCCATTTGTTCAAAATAGTAGGCCATTTATTGCCACTTCTCTCTGTGTGTTCTTTTTATATTGTTGTTGAAGCTATCTATTTTCATGGTCTAAACATGAGGTCAGTTATGCTCCGTACAATTTGGAGTGTGTTGCCTTTTAAAAAATGTGTTTTATCGCGGGATCTGTTATACCCCCATCACAAGTACTGTGAAATGTGCTGCTTCTTCGAATAATGACCCTATGAATGCTCCATTGTAGGTGTGCTTCAATCTCTGCACTGTTGATTATTGGGAGACGTATCAGTTAGTTTATGTGAAACAGGGACATTACCTCAGGAATGAATTTTGGATGTAGCCCTAGTGTAACCTTGTCCTGAAAGAATATTATGTAGGTGGGACTGTATTAAGACATTGATTAAATATGAGGCATCCCATATACAGCTTATTAATAATAAACCTGAACCGGAACTATTACTCATACATAAGTTTAATTAATAAAATTGAACCAAGATTTAACCATTTCTCAACTCCTGAATCTTTATTCAGCGATGAAATATCACTACTCCGACAAGAAGTCCAAGACTTGCAAGCTTCACTTAAGGTTGGAAATTAATTTTACTTGAATGTAGTTCATGGTTTCAAATAGTGAAATGTGCTAGCTGCTTCTATTGTGAGTCAGTAATATACTTTTCCCCCTGTGTCTAGGAGGAAAGATGGTACTCAGAAGAGCTGAAGAAAGAATTAGAAAAAGTGCAGCAGCAGCAAGTAATTGCTTTAAAATACTTGAAGCAGGTTTACAAACATGCAGTTTATTATTGACTTTGACATTGAAGATTAATATCATTTGTAAGGCATGTGGCCCAATTCAATCAATTTCATAACTTGATTCCTGGCATGGTTTTAAAAATCAGTTGTACATATACTGAAGTTGTAAATATGCTGAAGGTTAAAGGGATGTTAAACGTGCCAGGATTGTTCAGCACCCGTGCCCTTTAATTTCCACTCAGATTTTTCCTCTCAGTATGCTTATTTAGACCATGCTCAGTTTACATGTCTCTTTACCATTGTTGCATCTATTTGGGAAGCTTCAGTGAGGTATTGCTTTCGAAGCTTTTCTGAAAATGTCAGTGCAGTATAATCTTAAAGACCTTCTTCAAAAACGCCTGCCAAAGTAAAGTTACCTGAAGCCTCTTGCACCTTATTGAACTTGCCTCCTGAAACAATTGAGCTTGAATTTATTTTCATATATAGAGTTACTCCAGTATTGAATTTTACAAACTTCGGAAATAGGCATTAGAAGTAAATTTTGCTCTAGGTAAAGAATTAAATAATAGTTTTTCTTGACACTTTTGGGAAAATCTGACTTTCCTTCCTTAGCTGTTGGTCCTCTTTTACAAAATCCTGCATATAACAAAATGTATGGTATAGAGGCAGATTTCAGTGTAACAGAAAGCTAGTTAACATTGGAGTTTTGCTGTTCTGCATAAGTATGATAGTTAAGTGATTCAAAAGGATGGAAAGTCTTCTTGGCCTTTTCTGTCCTAAATTGTTTTGCAGTATTGAAGCACCTGTCTATTTTCGTAACTTTTCTAGAGACTTTAAATATGGAATTCTTTCAAATGCTTAGAAAATGTCTTCTATTAAAACTGTAGTTATTACCTTTACTATCTAGTGACACATTTATTCTTCATTTTTCCTTTTCTTAATTAAGGAATCTAAACCTGATGGAGTGACCACTGCTGCATCTACAGGTGAGAAATATTTTAATAGCAATGTTTCTATATTGCACTGAAATACTACAATACTGGGTGTTAGAAAAATTTAGTGAAACTTATTGATAAAAATACTGTTTCCTATAGTGAAAGGCTAACAATGGTGCAATTATGTAACATCTTCTCTTGCCTACTTTTTTTTCAATAAGTCTATAAGGACACAATAAGGTTGCTTTGTGCATTTTTAGAGTAAAGAAATATTAGAAGTTGATTAGTTCCATCATTTTTAGGATAAAGGAGGTGAAATTATGATGACCATAAAAGTACCTCTGATCATGGTTTTGATTTTTGAACACGGCCTTAATAATGTTAATATCTAAACAGCCTTTGTGCTGAGAGAGACAGAGTGATTGTTGACATTTGAATTACAACAATTGTCAATGCTCATTGTGTTGTCTTCAGTGCCAGTCTCTCGTGCTTGCTGCCAAAGAAAACACTTTTTAAAAAAAAAATCTGCATGTTTATAATTTTTTTGTTCCATGTTATTTTAGCATGGAGGCATTCATGGAATATCAGCTTTTACACACATGTGCAATCTCTGGCTGATCCTCATTAAATAACTTCTGATTTCACCTCAGGGCTCAGAAATCAGCAGTGCATAAAAATGATCAAAACGGATAAACTGATTTCCACCGATTAGCTAGATTCTGAGTTCAACCCTGCAAAACACTATGATCACTGGCCTGTTCCAGCAAAACACTTGAGCACATGCTCTAACTTTAAGTATATGAACAGTTCTATTGAAGTGAATTGAAGTTAAGTGAGCTTTGGTGAACTACTCATTTGTAATGCTCTGATTTTAGTTTTTTCAATAAATATTACTCTTTTTGAGCTAGAATCATTAGAACAGAAACTGGAAGAGACCCAAGTAGAAAATTTTAATATTAAGCAGATGAAAGACCTGTTTGAGCAAAAAGCTGCACAACTGGCCACTGAAATTGTGGGTAAGTATACACAATTATTATGCAGTCTGTTCTTCTCTTAATTTAAAACCTGAATCAATGATCTTTTGCATAACTTCATTCTTAACTAGATATTAAGGCAAAGTATGATGAGGAAATGAGTCTTCGAGAAAGTGCAGAGCAGAAAGTGACAAACCTGATGCAAGAACTACAGAAAGAGCGAGCCATAATAGAAGATTTAAAGACTGAACTGGTAATTCATACTACCTTCTTTATTTTATTCCTTTCCCATATTAGGAGGAAAGGTTTTCAGTCATTTGCTCATTCTAAACATAATCGTAAAAAAGACTATAATTGTTTACTTGGACAGTGATTTATTTGGGAGAGCAAGAGGAGTTCAGAAAATCCCCTCTTCTAAACTATCTATTCCAGTCAAGGAATATATATTCTTCCTGCTCTGTTTATTCAGTTATTTGTATTATTGTTATATATATATGACATGATGCTAGTTTGTGCAATGTTCAGAGACATCTGTGTGGCTTCCCTCATTTAAGGACTTTCATAAACAGAATATGAATCCTCATATGTGTTTTGTTTAGGCCTAATTTTGCAAATCTTACTGATGGTTAGATTATACTCTTATGAATAGATCAGTAGTTGTTTACTTCAATGGGTGTGTCTATATTAGCCTTTCCCCCTCCCCCAAGTTTTTCACTGTTGCCGTCACCAGGCAAATGCATTCAAAAGAGCAGCTTTGCCCAGGTCTTGCTGATGTAATGGTTAAAAGTCTGGCAGGTCTCTTCACTTTGTCTACACTGGTGTTACTGTTGTTGCTCTTGGCTGCCCAGGGCACATGTATTCCAAAAGTGTGTCTCCACAGAGGCAAAATAGCAAAGAATAGGTATTCCCAGTAACCTTTTTCCCCCCACAATTATACTCTGAGGATCCTACTCAGCAGCCTTTCTTCCATAGAACAGATAGCAAAGTAGTCAAGAGGAGCCTGCCAGCCTCCTGTCATCATTCACTCAGCTGTAAAACTTAGGCTCCGGATTTTTCTTTTCCTTTGCTGTATTGCTATTGATTAGTAGTTTTTCTTCATGTGTCTTTCCACTCCTTCCTGCCACTGCAATCCTTCAGCTGTCCACCCTCACTCTTCCGGCCATTGTTCTTCTGTTTCTCTTTTCCCTCTTCCTCTCCTCTCTCCCTCTTGCCTATTTTTTTTCTCTTTCCTGTTCCCTATCCAACACCAAAAGTCCCTTCCTCTCATCCACTTTAGCTCCAACTGCTACTTTTCCCCAAAAAAGTCCACCTAAAACAGTTTTTGGTAATATATAAAGCAAACATGTAAACAACCCATCCATCTACAGAACTAACATTATGTATGGCTGTATGCAGTGGTTTTGTTGTTGTGTTGGTCTCAAAGTATTAATGAGACAAAGTGGGTGAGGTAATATCTTTTATTGGACCAACATCTGTTGGTGAGAGGGACAAGGTTTTTGCTACACAGAACTCTTCTTCGTGTCTGGGAAATGTTATTAAAGTGTCACAGCTAAATATAAGGCAGAACAGATTGTTTATCCTAAATAGCTAACACATATTTCAAGGGACCATTCCAGGTGAAATGGCCTGTTAACTGCTCTTAATGGGGAGGGAGAAGCTGTCGATGTGTTTAGTGGGTTATATATTGTTGTAATGAATCATAAATATCTAGTCAGACTATGATGTTAGTAGCTAGCAAAATTATGAATTTAAGTTCCTGCATGTGTCCTTTGAAGGTGTTGTCCAGGTTTCTTCTGAGGATGAGGACAGATAGGTCAGATATAGAGTGATCACTTCTGTGAAAAATGTTCCCTCCTGGGTGTTGCTGTGGTTTTTGTCTTCTATTGTTGTTCTGTGTAAGTTAATTGGAGAGCAAAGTGATTGTCTCACTTCACCCACATAGTTGTTATTGGGACCTTGAAAGGTTTATTGTGGGGAGTGTTGATTATAGTACAAATGGAGATATGTCTGCAGTTTTGCATCTGTCTGACAATGGTTGCTCAGGCTTCAGTTTCAGCCATGGGTGGTGGGCTTGCCAACCTGAGCTTCAGCCCCAAGTTGTGGGGTTTTGGCTTTCTGCCCTGGATTCCAGCAAGTCTAATGCCAGCTCTGCTTGATGGGCCCCGTGAAGCCTGCTCAGCGGCCCCTAGATTGAGAATAATTTGTTCTAGAGAAAGCTTAGTGGATGGGAGTTGGTTGTTGAAGTTGTGGAGATGTTTAGGTCATCTGTCTAGAGGATGAAAATGTCATCCATGATTTCTCAAGTATATTACTAGTTTCATGATGAATATATATTCAGAAATTGTTCTTTCAAGGGGGCCTCTGAAGAGGTTGGCATTATTGAGGAGCCTTCCTGGTAAAGATGACTGTTCCCATGGTTTGGGCAAAGTGTTTTCTGCTTAATGTAAAATTGTTATGGGTGAGGATGAAATGGACAAGTTTGGCAATGTTTTTGGAGTGTGTTTCTGAGTTCATTGCTGAATTTATAATTTTGCTAGATTCTGAAAAATCATGGACTGAACACAACATTGGATTTATGGTTATTACAATAATTTATAATTCCCAACTTCCCTCCCCACTTCACCTTAAATGGTCTCTGGAAATGTGTGTTAACTACCAGGCTAAATAAATTATTCCATTTTATATCTAGCTGTGACATTGTGAGTACATTTCCCAAACCTGAAGGCGTGCATCATGTAAACTCAAAAGCTTCTCTTGCTCTCTCCAACAGAACTTGGTTCAATAAGTGAAATTACCTCACCCACCTTCTCTCTGTAATGTATGGCTGGGGTTACCACCCTGGCCACATTGCTTGTATGATTTATCTTTTCTTTCCACTCCTCCTCTGTTCTTTTCTTTTGTATTCAGGGCATGAATACTGTCTTTATGCGTGGGAATACAGTGCCTAATGCTGTTGTGTCCCACCCCTGATGGGCGGCCTTGGGTGCGACAGCAATCTGTACAATAAAAACACTGAAAAATAATATCATTCTCTGTTTTGATGAAGATGAACATGTGTTTGAAAATAAAGGGTCCGGAAATAACCCAAGAT